ACTGCCGGCGGGTGACGTAGTTGGCTGATCGCAGCAGGATGTTGTACTTGTCGAACACCGTCTCGAACTTTTGGGCCAGGAACTGCGGTTTGTCATCACAACAATAGCGATCGAATTTAACACAGCGGCAGCAGCAGCAGCAGCAGCAGCAGCAGCAGCGGTGACGACATTTGCACCATATAACGGTTCGTCTTCGTCCAGCATTTGTTCTAGCAAGGCAGCAATGGGGCGCACGCAAGACTCTCGATGCTCTCTTCTTGCGTCGGACATCCACAACACTTTCAGGCCTTACCGCAGGGGTGCGTAGTATTATTCCATGTCAGGTCTACGGCAAAATTTTCCCCGTTGAATCACAAAGCCATCTGGACGTCGGAGCCATATTTCTGTTGACATATAATCGGTATCATGAACCACACCATTTGGAAACGCCCGAGTGTAGCTGTCTGGTCTAAACATCCCTACTCATGCAACAACTCCGCTCTCACGCACCCTTGGGGGGCTACCTACACTTTCGCGTTGCGATTTTGTGGCGCCCTCGAAGCCCAAAAATTACCACACCACATGCATCATGCACTTCACAACAGAAAAGTGTGCCAAGATTAAAGCTCCTACATTCACCTACAACATGCTGCACTTTATTTACCTACAAGAGGACCAAAAACAACATCTCACGCAACAAGAATGGAACAAAAAAAAAAATGTCGAAAAAAAAAGTAGTCTAGGCAGGTTTTCGTAAGCAAGCAAACATACTCGATAAGTGAAGTTCGGGTTCGGGTCTGCGTGTACCCCCTGCCTGGTCTTTGTTCGTAATATACCTTATATACCTTACTTTCTTTGCGTATGGAGGGAGGCAGTCCGACAAAAACTCACATCCGACGCCACCGCCTTGTGTCTTGTCAGCAGGTCCCGCAGCGTCACGAAGGCGTCGCTAGCCACGTCGAAGTTGGGAAGGTGGACGTACTGCACCAACACACCAACACACCAACACACGAGACACATACAAAACGACGCACATCGTGACGCACCGGACAGAAAAAATCAGAGACCGAACGTGTGAGGGGATGTATGCCGTATGCACAGGTTGCAAAACATATCACACACCCTGGCCCGATTTTCAAAGCTCGATTACTTCACCACAGGAAAAGCAGTGACGGCGCCGAAAAATGGCGGGAGGCGTTGAAGCCGTTTCATCGAGAGCTTCCGACAACGTATCCTTTCATTTCAGCATCCTCTTCGTCGTGGAGTGATGAAACTTTGAAAATCGTTCCCGGGGGTGTGGTATCTTACGTCATGCAGCCTACGGTACATAAACTTCACAAAGTATGTGTATGTTTGTGTTTTTCCGGCGGGAAGATTGTCGTCCTCGGCGTGTATTTACAGGTACACATTTTCTATTAGGGCAAGAAAGCCTTGGTTTCATCCTGTAAAAATGGCAAAGTTTGAGCGTCATGAGGGAGGCGCTGGCCGCGTGTAAAAACCTTTCTTTTGGACAATCTAGGGCGCGTGAGACGCGCGACGCGTGACAGGTGGAGGCAGGTGGTGGCAAGAGCCAACAGGGTTACATGTGCCAAAGGCGTGAATGATCCAATACCATTATTATAGTAACGACAACGACAGCAACAACGGCGCCAAACAACGGTATGCATACCACATAACAGCAGACCCAGCAACACTAACAGCAACAACCACAACAGCGGCAGAAACAAACAACAGCAGCAACGACAACAACAACAACAACAACAACAACAACAACAACAACAACACGAACAACCAACGTACCTGGTCGAAAAACAGCCAGAGAGTCTCGTCGTAAAGAGTCATCCTCGCCAGGTTCTTGTAGCGGATGCACTCCCGCAGCATGGCGCCCCCGTGGAGTGCGATATCCGTGTTACCGTACGCCCCGATCATGTTCTTCACCATCAGGGGCTCCCCTTCCACGTACTCGACGAAGGTCTCGATGTTCTTGCGCACAAGATTGCTGAAGATCTGCACACGGCCGGATCGTCGTTTTTTTCACACGGTTCATGTTTCTTTTCGCTGTGGTACAGTATTTGCGGTACAAATTCAGAAACGTTTGATGCATGGCAGGCCCTAAAATACACGTACCTAGCCTTTTAGGTGAGAGAGCCTGTGACCACGGGAATCGCTCTGCCAAGTGTTTGATCAGTACGCACAGATGAGAGTTCTGGGTAGAGATAGAGATCGGAACGGTTAGTGTGTGAAGACAACAACAACAACAACAACAACAACAACAGTAGCCTCCTCCACAGCAGCAAAGCAGGATTGTCGTTGTGTTGCGGAACTTTTGACGTCTCACGCACGCATGTGTGTCGTTGGTTACACCCTCACCCAAAGGCTTCTTCCCTTCCTCGCCCCCCCTCTCCCTCGCCGTTCCCGTATGGTCGTTTCATTCTTTGCGCGTGCTGAGTGTACCGCTACCAATACCAGCAACAACTCGGCCGCTCATGCCGCAGAGGGAAACACAGAGGGGGTCTCGGTTTAGCGACCCCCTGATTAGCGGCCTGCCCTGTTTAGCGACCGCAAAACCCACGTCGCAACTGCCCGCACCCCGGTGTAAGCTGCTGTTTAGTTGGTAGTTCGGTTTAGCGACCGGCCCTGAATAGCGACCACATTTCGCCGTGACACTAGGGGTCGCTAAACCGGGACCCCCTCTACTGTATGGCAAACCTTGACACTAAATAATGATTTTTATTATCGCCGTCGTTGCCACCTCCCCCTATTGGCTCATCGCATCAAATGGCACAGCAGGGTATATATACAATATACCCTGGTCGAAATGCGACTCAGCTGGGTACATACTACCAGTAGTTCACAGCGTCCTCCAATGAGCCCAGCTGATTGGTCAACGTCCACTTTCACAATGCCGCGTCCCAAATTTATCCCGAGGTATACCCTCCGCGGCCACTGTTCTCTCCGGAAATGTACCCTGATATCGGAAGTGTACCGTGGTCTCACGGATAAAGGGGATCCTTTCATCGACTATTTCATCCGCAGGAATCAATTTCTGTTATGCATATGTAGCATTTCGACTTTTTTGGTGGTCGCGTTCTTTCTTCTCTGCTGGGACAGCGTATTTCTCGCATACTCTTCTGCATGACAAGCAGAGGACCCGTCGGTACATTACCCGTTACCTGTGGGGCTCGCGACACACCGGTGGTGCGCGTTAGGGCCGTTTAAAGTCGCTGGGACTGCCTCTATTTTCAGGGGTTGGGAATCCGAACCATAAAAGCCTCCTCGAACGGGATGAAAACTGAAAACATTTTTTTTTTTGCCACGCGCCACGCGCCACGCGCCACGCGCCACGTGCCCACACGGCTGCTGTGGTTGTTGTGCTACACACGCACACACACACACCATACAGCAACCGGTGCAAATACAAGGATATATGCAGTGAAACGAGGGCATCGGAGCTACAACGCGGCTGGTTGTCGCACGCTAAAAAGCGCATGTGCTTCTACGCGATATTTTTCCGAACTGTTCTGAGAGTCAAAAGAGACGGAATGTGCATTGCCGCGGTCAGTTGAAGGTCGTAGTCTCTGTGCGAGATGTTATTTGTCTGCCTCTTCAGACGGCACAGCAGTTGAGATGTTATTCAACTTGAGTCGCCCCCGGGATTTGCACGTGCCTATATCCCGGAACGGGGGACCTTGTACAACGATAGGATACTAACCATGAACGTTCCCGCTCGAAACTGACAATGGCGTGCACATAGGCACAGTTCCGTTGGGAAAGCTACCGATAAGTCGTCATGTATGCGAGATACGAGCCATCACGCTGAGAACGCGATCGATCCAGCATGGTTGCAAGCACGGTGTGTATGGTTGCCAACACGTCGGCTCGAACAGATGTGGTACGGACGGACCTGTAGCGGCCAGCTCATGGAGGTAGAGAGGCGGAAGGTCACGCACACTCCGGCCGAATCATCATGGAAGGAATGAGCGTACTACCCTACCTACAACAGAGGACGTGCTGCAAAGTACAAACAGAATTGTGACGCGAGGAGCAGAGATTTTAGTATCCGCCTTTTGAACCAACCCTCATGGTAGGATGTGCGGGGTCTGATGAGCCTAGTCGGCATAGACAGCTACGTTGGCGTGGGATGACAAGGGGGGTAATCCGTGCGCCGCCGCTCGCTCCTTCCCTGATGTTTCGCTCGGCGTGTGTGTCTGCTGTAGGTGACATGACACAAGATACCACACCCCCGGACCGATTTTCAAAGGTCGATTACTCCACGACGAAGAGGACGCCGAAATCAGACAATACGTTTTTCGGAGGGCTCTCGACGAGACCGTTCCAACCCCACAATTTTCAGTTCCGCCACTGCCGGTTTTTCTGCCGAGTAATCGAGCTTTGACAATCGACCCAGGGGGTGTGATATCTAATGCAACGTGCGGTAACCTTCTGCTTCTCCTCCACCACGAGGTCGCCGCCACACATCGCAAATACAAGCTGGTTCAAGGAAACGGAAACAAGAACATCCAACATGAAAACTTCATGCCGTTTTTAGGAGTTAGACTTTCAAACTTTGCACGCATGTACATTGCGCTAGAACGAAACGCTGTGTGGAGGGGCCATTTTTGTTTTCCCCCCCTTTCGCGGTATATCCGGGGTCCTAGAGGTTTCGGGGTCACGTGCTTCTCCTGGGACCCCGAATAACCGGCGACTATGGAAGAAAAATAAAAGGGCCCACCGCACAGCGTTTCGCACCAACCCAATGTACATGTGTGCAAAGTTTCAAAATCTAACTCCTAAATAGCTTCTAAAAACGTCGTGAACTTTTCAGCTTTTTGGTCATGAAGTATTCCCCATCCTACTTGATATTAGTAAAGAATCAGGTCCGCGGGCCCCCCTGTTCACTGCAAAGCCCCGTACAGCGCCAGTTTTAAAAAGTGGTACAGTACTACAAAACTTCCCGGAAAGGATCATTGAATTATTTCGCAGCGGAAAAAAAAAGAAGTGGTGTTCATATATTTGGAACCGGCTTTCGGGGGTTCCAAACCGGGGACCCCAATACGTCGGTCAGCAGTGCAAACATCGTCTCATTTTTCTTTTACGGTTTGCGGAACTTTGTTGCGCCATGCTATCAAAATCTGAGGGCCATTCAACATTTACTTCGGTATATATTACAAGGCAAACCAACACGAGACTAAGTATTTTATCCCATACACAATCCGTCCGTGGAAATTTGTCGACGCCAAATCTCGGCGGTCGAACCACCATTTTGGGCATAACTCGCTTCCACAATGACCGTTTTCTACTTTTTTTTCTTTTAGGTCCCCTACAGTAGAGCATGAGAATTTCTGTTATTGCAAAACTGCGGTAGAAAGGGGGTAGGAAGCGCGGCTTGGCATGCACTATTACAACAGTTTGATTATCATGTTGAACGTTTCTGATTGGCCGAGACACATTTTTTGCCCATTGCATTGTGGTCACGGCTCTAATTGAATTTCCGGTCACGGTGATTTGTTCCCTTGCTCATGGGGGTCACTATGATGCAAGTTATGTCAATTTTGTGTACATGCTTCGTCTGGCAGCGTTGGTTGAATAAATTTGGGTTCATTTCCGTGAACCTCGTACATACATGCGTCTTTGAGCCGGCGTGTGGCAACCATCACACCGCTGCTTTCAACCATGCTGGATCGATCACGTTCTGAGCGTGATGACTCGCATCTCGCATGCCTCAAAACTTGTAGGTTGCTTTCCCAACGGAATTGTGCTGTGTGCCATCCATTGTGTGTTGCGAGCAAGAAGTTCATGATTGTATAATCATATGGTTGAATCAGAAATTGATTCCTGCGTAGGAAATGGCCGATAAAAGGATCCCATGTTCCATCAGACCAGGGTACACTTCCGATATCAGGGTACAATTCTGGAGCAAAAGTAGCCGTGGTAGGGTTATGCCTCGAGCTATTCGGGACACGGCACGGTGGACGTGGGCGTTGACCAATCAGCTCGGCTTATTTGACTCTGTCGAAGGAGTGGTATGTACCCAGCTGAGCCGCCTTTCGACCAGGGCATAAATTACCCTGTTGTGTCTTTTCTCGAACCGCACAACGCGGAAACGCCGCTAAACCTGAGGAGATCCTACCCACGTCTCCTTTCCATACGTATCGTGTAACGCCAGTGGTGGTCGTTGAGGTACCGCAACAACAACATGGCGTCTTCACGAGCCGATCAGTCCATCCGTACGTGTGTACGTACACCACGGTCTTACAAGTAATATCTAGAGATTATGAATCGGATTTAGGAGAGTGCTTTTCGCTTGTCCCGACACATGACAAATGCACATCTTGCATAGCAGTAGTACCGCTTAAGAATGAAAACGGGTTTAAGAGGGTGTGGTTGGCGTGTCCCGACCTTCTCTTAAACCGTAGCCACCATACCTGGGACACGTCCTTTCTAGCCTCGAAGGGCAGTGCCGGTAAGCTCTCGATAAGGCGTGGCATCGCCTCCGACCGCCGGATGGCAATGCTAAATTCCTTGCACCTGCATTCAAAAGGCAGCAAGTATAAACGACGAGCAGGAGAGAGAGAGAGAGCTCGTCTGCTTGCGTCCGTCAGGTAAGCACGAGCAGAAGAGCTGGCCGTTTGCTTGTGTCCGTCATTCGGCCTGAACATAAACAAGCAAATACAGTGTGAGCAGAGCTTCGCTGCTCGCCTTCGTCCAAGTCAGCCAGCAAGAACAGGAGACCTGGTCGTTTGCTTGCGTTCGTCATCCGGCCTGCATCAAAGCATACAGCGTGAGCAGAGAGTTTCGCTGCTTTTGCGTTCGTAAGTTCAGCAAGAACAGGAGAGCTTCTCGCGACCGCCATTCGACCCGCATCAAAGCAGGCAAAGTACACAGCGTGAGCAGAGCGTCGTTGCTTTGCGTTCGTCCAAGTCAGCAGGAGCAAAGGAGAGCTCCGTTGCTTGCGCTCGTCATTCCATACAAGCACTCGTGTCTCTGGCGAGGCGTGACCATCGTTCCCGCCCCTCCGACACAAGTCAACATTTCAGGCGCTCCGTTGCCACTTCCATCGAAAGAAGGGCACCCACCGCTGATGACTTATTGTCTGCGTGACCCCCGAGGATAGGGGCGCTCTCTCCAGTCAAGAGGCGCATAACCACGACACGCAAACAATTGCGGCAAGACTGCTGTGTCGCACCTATTAACTAACGTGCGGAGAAGAAGCAAAAAGTCGTACTACTCCAGAGTGAACGCTGGAAGTTGTTGCTCATCTCCTCTGGACTTGGGTTGTGAGGGAGGACGGGCTGGAAGCACAGAAGGGAGCACACGTTACTGCTGTTGCCATGAGATCCCTGGAACTAAATAGTCACTTGGGTCAATAAATAACATACGCGGTACGTGTGACCTGTCACTCTGGCCATGTCTGCCGCGTAGCGTTCATGTGCGCTTTTGTCCTGACTTGCCGAGCCATCCCCGAAGCAATCTACGTGTTACACCTGATGCATTTGTCACAATCCCAACAAACGTGAAGGCATGACACACGTCTTTCTACTGTGATCACCATCCTCTGCCTGCAGACATCAAAGGACACTACTCCGCTCGAGATACACATGCAGCTCGCCAGGTGAGGAATTCTCAACAGCAACAGTACAGCGGTCAAGACAGTTGGACAGTTACGGTGAGGTGGCGCCTACCGACGGCTTGTTGTTGATGTTGTTGTTGATGTTGTTGTCATTGTTGTTGTTGTTGTTATTGTTGTTGTTTTCTTCACATTTAAAATCGCTCCGGTCTCTGCCCAGCACCGTTTAACATCCGCACCGACGAGTGGCATTCATTCAAGTCCATTCAACAATCGTACAGTAGTAGTGCATCTCACACAAACAACTCATGTGGCGGCTGTGTTGCCACCCGCGACACCGACGAGAGAAAAATATGTTGAGAGTCTTCGAACATCATTACGGCTAAGCTTCCACCGAAGTCAAGGTTGACGTCCTCGCCGGGAGGCTGAATGAGGATCCCTCCGCAAGCAAACCATCTCTTCTCATTAGAGAACACATCGCATCGTGGCGTCTGTAAGCTTGGCTTCGTGCGCCTTACAATCCGCTAGCATGTCATACATCAGAACGGCACCACGCTTTCTCTTTTTTAACTTGTTCCTTGGACGTTTTTTTCTAGGCGTGCTGTACTGCTGCTGCATGCCAGAACTGCTGTTGCGCCGTTTGTCTTTCCGATCAAATTAATCTTCGTATGTAGTCGTCTACAGGGCGGGAATGCGCCAGGCCGGTTCACCCGCCCTTAGGAAACTGCAGGCACCCGCCCCACACACTATCAGCGCGGCCAAATTATGCAACAGCTTGATGAATCTATCTGTGCCAAGAGATTCACCCGCCCCAACAACGGCCACCCGCCCCTCCAGAGGGACCCCGGGCTATATAGTCTAGAGGGACCCCACCTCCTAGTTGTCGTATGTTTCGAGAGGACCGAGAGGAGGGTGAGTGTGTGCGCGCGCTCACTACACGACAGCGAGGACTCCGCACTGCTGCTTACTACTACATCCCGTCATGCTCCCGTCATGCGAACACAATGTTTTGCAAATTTTGCGCTGCTACTCTACATGTATGTAACACAGTAGTTTTTCGCGTTTCCCTCAGATCTCTCGGCAACAAAACTGTTGCCGGTGACACGCGCTGCTTTTGACAAGTGTAAGCGGTATACAGCAGCAGCAGCAGCAGGGTGGTAAGTAGGAAGGTGGGATGTAGCACGGCATCTCTCGCCTACCGCGCAGTGTTCATTGCACACCTGCTGCTGTACAGACGCTGCTGTACAAACAACTTCACCTGCCACCTGCTACAATATCGATCGTGCAATAACAACTTTGCGATGCCGCCCGCCCATGTCATGCACACCTACCTGGCCTCATCGGGGTCTCTCTCCTCCTCGCCGTAGAGCACGAACTTGATCTGGCTCAGCCGCTTGGCCAGCTGCGCGTCCTGCCCTTGGTCCAGGGCCTCCACCATGGCCGCCACGAGCTGCTCCGGCGTCTTGTTCTTCTTGAGCTTGTTTAGGAGGCCGGACATGTTTGGTTTTGCGGTCTCACGCGCGCTAGTGATTGCTGGTGGGCTGCTGTTAGTAGTAGCCAGGTCGTGCCGTGCTAGTGATGAGCGCTCTGGTATGTACTTCGAACCCCCGCCGAGTGCTGGATCCGAATGAATAGTCGTCTTGGGAGATAGGGGTGGAGGAGTCGCCGATACAACCGAGAGAGAGAGGCAGCAGAGAAAAGCAACGTTGATGGTGCGACTTGGTGACAATTGATTCGCGCCCAGTTGACTCTGCAGCAGCACCAGCGCACAGGCAGAACTACGAGAGGGAAGGGGAGCGGAGAATAGGCCACGAAAAACCAACTGCTACGGTAGGAACCTGTGATGGTATGCTATGTTTGCTACATTCGGAAAGCAACCTCCTTGGCGGGGTACCTGTTGGTGCCCTACTACTGTACAAGTATATTGATGTCAGCGTTGTTGTTCGTCGTGTTATTATCCCGAGGTCCGCCTACAACCCGGTTTGCTCTGCCCACCTACCTCGGCAAAAAAAAATCTGGTGTCTCCCTCTCAAGCCCCACGCATAAGGAAGCCGATACCAGGTCTAGGCGTGTGAGGGCAGTGCTGCTCGCCTGTGGCTCTGTGGTTACTGCTGCCGTGGTGTGCGCTGGTGAAATTCAGTAATCATCGATTGCAGGGGGCTCCGTGCATGATTTTCTCAAAAGCAGGGTGTCTTGACGAGCGCCGCGTGGGACGCGCCTGCTGGAGGTGGTATGCATACATACATTCACCCAACACCGTCGGCGCGTAAACTCGTCTAGCTTGTCCTCTCCGGGCTATCGGCTTGCAGGAGAAATAAAGGGCTGGGTTGGTCGGGACTACACGGCCGCGATCCTCTCGGCGAAACGAAGGGGAGGTTGCTTGGTTTTCTTCTCGCCACACCAAATCTCACAAGAGGGAACAGCAGAGGAGAGAGGAGTCTTTCCGGACATCGACCACCATAGCGCGGTGAGCCGCGTTGATGAGTATTGCCCCAGAGTCAACGGTATTGTTGGGGGCGTGACACCATGGTATCCGGTGGGGCAGCAAGAAGGGGTGCGCATACGCGCGACCGGATCAGGTGGCCAACGTCTACCTCCCTCTCGGACTACCACGGCCGTGTGTAGCCAGCCCCGTCCCGAGTGTCCATGTGTCGCGTTGCGGCAGATACAATTGTAGCAGCAGATAGCATCGAAAGAGACGGGGACACAAAGTTCGATATATCTGCTGCCTAGATGTATAGGTGCAGTGTCTCTCAATCGATCCCTGAACGACAGGGAGGCTGAGACCTGACCTTGCCAAGAGAGCCCAACCCCTTGTCCGCCTCAGTATCGCGTTTGGGTTTTCGTCTGCCTCCCCTGCCTCCTCTACATATCCAAGCACGAAACCACGATAGAAAAATAGGAGAGGTTTCTCTTTTTGCTCTCATCGTTGTTGGGGGCACGCTGCTCCTTGAACATACGCAAAGTTTCGCGTTCCGACTCGAGCGAGCTCTCCGGACCATATGATTGGTGACTTGTCGCGAAAATCTGTCCCCTTGGTTAGAGGGAGACAAGGGGGGGGGGGCGGTAGAGTTAGCGGGGGACAAGCTTGTGAAAAACAAAGGCTCAAGGCTTATCGGCAGCAGCACGAAAGTAGGTAGGGTTTCTCAGCATGTAGCGTGGAGATTTTTCCAAATTTCGTACACCAAAGGATACCATACATAATTTTATAACCCACGCATGTCTGCATCTGCTGTTGGTATCATGGCAGACAACAGCGAACAACAATAGAGGTACACCTTCTGACGGGGGAGTCAGGTAACCTCCTCCCTATTGAGGTTCAGTGAAAATGGGGCAGGTACCAAGATTCTCATAAAATACGGCATCTCCTTCAAGAGCGAGCGGGTGCCCTGCTGGTCACAAACAACATGAGATGCGCCGCCGCAAAACACCCGGTGTATGTATGCAGGGGCTCCTATTCTTTGCCAACGGTTTTTTTCACAGGGTGATTCGATGTTCATACAAAACAAGTTTCGTTTGTGTTCGGAGTGTAGCGCGCTCTTCCCGTGTGTTGTAGCCGCAGTTGTATGAATACTTCTCAAGTTCATTTCTCTCGTTACCCTCCACAAGTTGCCCTTACTTTATATTTTATATTTACTACTTCTGCTATAATACGAAGAGCGTTAGTGATGTAAAGTGTGCCAATACCGACATTTTATTCCGGGTGGTGTTGCTCGGAGTTTTTTTTTTGTCAAGCTTCTTCCTTCCAACATCAGTGCTGGTCTAACTGACACTGGCAATAAACCTTTGTACATGCCCCCGTGAAGAAGTACTACATAGCTTGACCATGAACACATGAAAAACACAAGGGTCCGAATGGAAACATCAACACACAGAAGAACTTTGAGGAAAAAATGAAAAATCAACACAAGAGCAATGATGGATGTAGCTTGGTTGTGAAAACCAGACAGAACAAAATTTGCAGCAGGTTGTTGTTGTTGTTGTTGTTGTTGTCTTAACATTAAAAACCGTTCCGATCTCTCTCTACCCAGTACCTTCGTATGTCCGTACTGATCCAACATTTGACGCGGTCGATTCCCGTGGTCACAGGTTCACTTACCCTAAAAAGGTACACTCAAATAAACTGGTGACAGACGACAGACACAACACGCCGACACGAACTGGAACTTTTGTACGCCAATGTTTCCGACCGACCGACTGCTTAGTCGTGTTGGTATATAGAAGGTCTCTGCTGCTGTGGTTTACATTCTATTCGCGCGCATTTGTTTATTTTTTTATTTTGTCAGTATTATGACCCTACGAATCCATCTCTATTTTCTTCGTTTTCATCTTTGTCCAAGGCGCCGCCACCTGTTGGGTGTACAACAGAACACAGAACTTGGTGTGATGCTTCGGATGCAATTTTTTCGAGACTCTCAATAATATGCATAATAAAATGCATAATAGTAGTGTGCATGAGCATTCTTGGATATCCCTCGACTGCTGCTGTGGTTGGGTCCATTGTATGCTTGATGCTTGAGGACTTGACCCCATCCCTCAAAGTGAAGAAATCGAAATCCCAGGCATTGCACCAAAAGTTCTGCTGTGATAATTTGATCATTTGTAGAAGTTGTCAAGTGGGAAGGGTGCCGCATAATATCGTAACACTTAATATAACTATGCATATTATGCGGCACACATGTGCTTGTACATGCTTAATTTAAATTATTAATAGCTACGCTGTGTACGTTGTCACCGCACGTGTTGTACAAATACATTTGTACGAGCAAGTACGGGGACATGCGGTATTGTACATAAGACCAATGCGTAAGGTCTGAACGTTTTTTTTTCTCGCTTTTTCTGCTGTGAAGAAGACCACGGCAGCAGCCTGCAGTGTGACAGTGATGCATACATAGCATGTGACACAACAACATTCATTAGGTATACTGCTGTACAGCCATCCATCTTCCCGTCGGGGGATAGAAGAAGAATTTTCGTCGCCTTAATTTTCGTCGCCGTCTACAATTCGAACCAGGATGCGTGCGCGCTTGGAACACAACGATCCCCTCCCTCGACGAGTATGTGATATAGTAGACACACCACGGCAAGACAGAGCAGTCAAGTCGTTTTGTATCCGTCGTCCGTCGTGGCTGTGTTTTTTTTTTTTTTTCTTAATATGACACAACGAATCCATCTCTATCATAGAAAAGAGTCAGAGACAGATTAGCAATGAATTCATAGCGTCAGAAAAAGCTACTTTTTTTTTTTTTCTTAATATAACACAACGAATCCATCTCTATGATAGAAAAGAGTCTGAGACAGATTAGCAATTCTTTCCACATTCGGGCGCGTGGTTTGTGGGGGGCACACATTTAGCAATTGGCATACGGTTTAATGTGAAGACAACAACAACAACAACAACAACAACAACAACAACACCCCGTGTGGTCCGACTCCCATCTCAGCGACCCATTTACATTGATACCGAGCCCAAAATTCTCTCCTCCGAAGTATAGTATGCATACCACGTATAGTGCCTTTTACGAGCAAGGTGGTGGTGAACGTCTTGCGGCCCGCAGACAAGACCCGTTGTCCTTTGTCGGCTCACTTGACGCTTGGTTGTGAAAAGTGTTTGGCTGCGATTTTTTGTCTCCGACGCCACGCGTGAATGAAGCCCTGTCGTGCAGGATATTTGCCAATAGATTTCCACCCACTGCTGAAGTGCTGTTGAGGTTCTCTTTTTTTTCTAGGGGAAATCTTGGCTGAATTATTTTTATACTACAAGTACACTTCTCCGGAATATGCCTACAAGCAGTACTTGTCAAGTGAAGCTTAGTTTTTTCTTCAGTGCTGCCTGCGGATCTAAAGTGCGTGCTGAACCACGATCACCACCACCACCACCACCAGGTACAAGTATGTGCATTTCCACAACCTCTCGTGCGAGCGCCTCTCTCTCCGGACCCTGTCTTGGTTGTTGCGCATGCAGCCTCTGGTGCTGTGCTAATATAGTGGGCCCTGTATACAGTACAATAGTGCCACATCAGCCACATCAGTCTGGTACAGTAAGTGCCGGCAATCTCAGGACTCATGACACAGGTGTCACCTCCCAAATTAAAACCTACATATTGTACGTACCGGTAAAATATCGCGACACATTCCGGCACTTCGTACCGCTGCACTTGTTATTCGTTTGCTAACCCTAAGTGGAGCCTTGATTCCGCTGTGCCCCCGTCTCTAGCGTGAATAGCGTCTCCGTTCAATGTTGTGAGGAGGATAGCAATGCCATGTATGTCTGTCGCTGGTGCCGTGTTCTTTTTTTGTCCTTGTGAATGAGAATGCCACGGTATCCCGCACATGAACAGACACTCGACAGACAGACCGTGGCGCTCAAGTACAACGACTAACAGGGTGCCACACACAAAACGCCCGACTACCCAACAGTACCCAACACCTTTCTGCTACACCTTCCCAACATAGCATATATGAGACACACAAGATAGCTACCAAACTGTTTTGTTGAGCCCTGTACCCGCAGGGGAGATGTCCCTATATGCTGTCTGGGAAATCGTAGACATAGAGGTAGCTTTTTCTGACGCTATGAAGTCATTGCTAATCTGTCTCTGACTCTTTTCTATGATAGAGATGGATTCGTTGTGTCATATTAAGAAAAAAAAAGAAAAAAGAAAAAAGAAGATACCGCAGTTTCGCCCTACCGAGGTACGCGGCCATACAGCAGCAGTCCTCAAATCTGCGGAGACACAAGGCAAGGCAGTTATATGCTACAACTGCCTTTCATGGGATGGCCGGTTCACCAGACTGATACGTTGATTAGCGTGGACCGCGCTAGTCGGTTGACCAATGAAATGACTTCACTCCTGTGCAGCGTAGAGATCGGGGTTCTCAACGCTAGTATTGTTGCGAGGCTACCCGCTAGACTAGGCAACCGGGGGCGACGGACCCTAGATTGCTGCTGCTGCGGCTGCGGCTGCTGCGAGTACAACCGTGTTCAGACCAAAGCATGGAAGACGTGGCACTAAAATGTGCGGCTTTGCTCCTGGCAAGAATTGGCGCCATGTTTTGTTGTTCGTCCTCAGCTACGTAGCGCAGTCCGACAAAAAGAAAGCCTACTCAAGACGCCGTATCGTCTCTTTTTCTTTTTTGTGTGCGTGTGTGTGGCCACAGCAGCAGCGGTACCGCCACCAATCGCGTTCGTTGTGAGAGCGTGGATACCCCGTGTGATCTGTCTGACCTATACTCTTTTGTTTTCCCCTCTTGATTATTTTCAGCAGGGGTGGCCCTTTCTTTGGAGCGACAACAGAACAACAACGGCTCTATTTGGGGGGTGAGTTTGTGGCGCTCTCTCCTTTTCTGCGGACTCTGGGGGCCCCTGAGCGGCAGCAGTAGCCACCCTTACCGGTTGTTCCGGCGAATCCTCCTCCAGCCGGTGCTGGTGCTGCTGGCGGTATTATAGTGGTGGTGTCATCGTCGCCGGGGCGCTGTGCCGTGTCGGCATCACGGACGAAGGGTATTTTGAAGGGCGACGAGCTGGGTTTGAAGGGGAGCGTGCGGGGGACCCCGAGGAGAAGAGGATAGGGCACAACCCCAAAGAGGGGGAAGCAGAATTGCATCACCTGTGTCGTCGGAGGATAACGTAGTGCTACCGCTGCTTCTGCGGAAGAGGAGGAGGGAAACAGCAAAGTTTAGCGGAGCGCCAACGTGCAGGGAAGGGATAGGAGAGCAAGGAGTTGGCCATTGGACGGGCAGCGAGGAGAGGACCGCCCTAAGTCTCTTCCACCAAACCAGGCGCGTCTGAGCCAAGGTGCATCATAAGGCTATTAGCGCTGTTCGCAAGAGCACCGCTCGCCGCCAAAGAGCGCAAGTAGGAGCAGCAGCAGCAGCAGCAAGTCTTGTCTTATTTCCCACCCAGCAGCTGTCCCAACCAAGAAGCGGGGCCCTTGGATTGGGGAGCATGTCTGCCGTCTGGGGTTGGTCGAAGGTGGAGAGCACGCCGGATGGCGGGGCTCCCTGCCAGAGATCGCTGCACGCCGCGGCGGTTCTCAACGACAGCATCTACGTCTTCGGAGGTATGTGGTAGCGCTGCTCCTGTACCCTTTTTCCCGGAAGCGTGTATATGATACTGCTGCTTGCTGTACCGTATTTATGAAGCATGTGGCGTCGTAAGTAGATGATGCTTTGAATTCAATCATTGTCGGAGTTGGAATCAACCATCATGAACACCTTACCCGCGTCATGTACACGTATGTGCATGGATGGAGTACAGTTTTGCAGACTCAAGATAAACCCAGTATGCGGCCGGTTTGTCTTAACACTCATTATGCATATTAAGACTAAGTAGTTTTTTTTCAACCCCACGAACAGGGTACGACGGATCGAACCGAGTGAACGACTTCTACGAGTTTAAGATTTCTACGGGGTCTTGGTCTAAGGTGCAGGCGTCTGGCACTAGCCCTTCGCCGCGCGACCGGCACACGGGCGTGGTGCACGGCAACTCTTTTTTCGTGCTCGCGGGGTTCGACGGAAATCAGCGGGTCAACGACTTCTTCGAGTTCAACTTCGACACGATGCAGTGGTAAGTAAGTTTTGATGGTGACGATTTTTGGTTTTTGGTTCGACTCCGACACCATGCAGGGGTGAGAGATAGGCTTGATTGATGGTGGTGGTGGCAAAAAAAAATTGTTTGCTGACTTCAACTTGGACACCCATGCAGTGGGGAAAGTCTTGATTTGATTTGATTGTTATGGGGACGATTTCTGTTTGTGAGTTGAAGTTCTGCACGATGCAGTGGTGAGACAGTATCATTTTGATGTGATAATGACAAAAGATTTATTTTTGGGTTCAGGTTTGACACGATGCAGCAGTTGTGATGGTATGGAATGGGTGTGGACAACATGTGAATCTGAGGTTGGTTATTGCCGGCGAGGAGAAAGAGAGGAGAGATGGCATGTTATGAGTTAAGAGGGTGCTCTGTTCTCGAGCAGGGTGCGTAGTCAATGCTCAAAAGGACTAAAAAACAAAGCACGCGAATCACGAAGTGCCCCAAGTGCTGCGAGATTACCCCCGACATGCATTGTCACACCCGCAATCTTTCGTGGACCCACCATATTGTTGACCTCACTACCCCCCGTCCCGTTCCGTGTACAATCCATTCCGTGTATCCATTCCGTGTATCTAAAACAGGTCACCTGTGGTGGCGGCCACGGGGTCCCCCCCCAGCCCACGTCATAGCCACGCCTCCGTGGTGCATGGGAACTCCATGTTTGTCTTCGGGGGTTACGACGGGAGCTACCGCAGCGACTTTCACGAGTGAGACGCTGTGTATGCATTCTGCTGGCCTATTTTATGTCTCCGTTTTAACTAGGCGAAGAGTCGGTTCTCCAGGGTACCTTTGCACACATGTCTCTTTTCATTTGGTGGTTTCGCGCGCGCGAGAGAGAGACACACACACAGACAGAGACAGAGACAGAGGTGGTTTTGCTTACCCCCCGCCATCACTCCCTCTGTAACCCCCCCCCTCTCTCTTGGTGTCTGCCAGGTACAACTTCGCCAGCAGCTCGTGGCTGCAGGTTAACGCGGCCGGCCGAGTCCCGAGGGCCCGGTACCGAGCGACGTGCGTGGTTCACTCCGGCTGCATGTACCTCTTCGGGGGACACGACGGCACGCGGCACCTCAACGATGTACACGTCTTCGACTTCGATGTGAGAGGAGAGCAGGATTAAGAGAGCTAGGAGGACGGAGGAGAAAGAGGCGGCGGGAGTGGGGCGAGGGGAATAGACGGAGCGGAGGGGGGGGGGGGCTTGTTGTCGTGAACGGCCTTGTATACCTGCGGAGCCGGAAGAGCGGACGTACGAAAGGGGGTTCGATGTCCATGGAGGGGGTAGGGTACACGCATAACTGCCGCCTTTTGGTACGAGACTGCTGTTGAACACGCCTCTCTTCCGAGTAGGACGGGGGTACACCGGCTGCGTTGTTGGTTTTTTGTAGTTTGGCTTTGGCGTTCACCTCGCGCGATGCCTAACGCTAAACGACATCGGTCGGCGTGCTCGAGTGGAAGGCCAGGGCACAGGAACGGGAGGGAACGAGCGGGGGGGAGGGGAAAAGGGTTGGGTGAGCGGGCAAGAAGCACACAGGATGATGGCGGGGGGGAGAGGCTGGAACGCTGCGTCTACCACCTAACCCACGTAACCCTGCTCCATACGGCGTGACCCCGTGGTTTATGTCAGTCCAGGTTCTGGAAGACGCTTAACAATACCCCTCTCCCCCGTGCTTTTTGTCAGTCCAGGTTCTGGATGACGCTTAACAATACCCCCCGCCGCCTCCTGTCCCATACGGCGTCGATGTCAGTCGAGATTCTGGATGACGCTTAACGCTGACCCCCCCCCCCTTCCCCCTGTCCCATGCGGCGTCACCCCCTTGCTTTTTCTGTCAGTCGAGGTTCTGGATGACGCTCAACACGGAGGGAACGGCACCGATCCCTCGGGATAGCCACGTTTCGGTTATCCACGGGCAGTCGATGTACGTTTTCGGGGGCTCGACCGGGTCGGCGATGAACGACTTCCACGAGCTGAGACTGGACAAGTGTCGGTGGCAGCAGGTACACATGAACCTGGCCCCCTATTTTTAGAGTAGTGATGATTTGGTGCAAAGCTGAGACTAGACAAGTGTTGGTGGCAGCAGGTACACATGAACCTGGCCCCCTATTTTTGAGTTATGATGATTTGGTGCAAAGCTGAGACTAGACAAGTGTCGGTGGCAGCAGGTACACATGAACCTAGCCCCCTATTTTTGAGTTATGATGATTTGGTGCAGAGAACTCAGACTAGACAAGTCCCAGCGGGAGCAGGTACAAATAAACCTAACCTTTGATTTTTGAGTTATGATGATTTGGTGCTGCAGCACCAGGCTAGACATTTTGGCGATGGCAGCATGTATTTTCCTCACCCCTAGCAGGGTAAGGATGAGTGGGTGCAGAGCTCAGACTAGACAATTGCCGGTGGCAGCAGGTACAACTAAACCTCTCACCCCTGTTAGCGCCCTATTAGCGTTTCGATGATTGGGTGCAGAGCTTTTGTACCTGCTGTGTTAACTGCTGTCGACCGAGCTGTTTGAGGGGCGGGCTCTTGTCGTGCCGATTATCCTAGTTCGACGATGCTCTTTTTTGCTATTGTTCTTGTTGGACATTTTGTTTTTTTTTTTGTTGTGCGTCCTTTCGGTTACACAGGTGCAAGCGTTGGGCAACGCGCCGAACCAGCGCTTCTGCCACGTGGCGTGCGTCAACAAGGACTCCATGTTCGTGTTCGGAGGATACGACGGGACAAGCCGGCTCAACGATCTCGTAGAGTTTAGGTAATGTATTTTGCTTCACCGTGCGTCAAGCGTTGCCGCTTCTTATGTCCTGTGGTGACCTTCCTCTTTGTCTTTGTATCCTTCGTTGTGTTGAGAATGTGTTGTGTTGTCTTGACGTATGCGTACAACCTGTGGCTGACCGCCGAACTCGAAGATGCAACTGGTTTATATATATATTTTTCTCTTTTGCCGAAAACATTCCTGTCGGAACAGTCCAGGCGTTTTACCTTAAGTGTTTGCGTCGTTGCTGCGCTCTATTGAAGCCGAAATCAACACCGCTGACCAGTCTGACGGTTTGATTTCGGCTTCTACAGCAGTGGCTCTTTGGTTGCGCTTGTCATTTACCTTTGCCTCCCTCGAATGATGCGTGTGTCGTCGAATATTCCCACCCGTCCTGTTGTTGCAGGTTTAGTATCGACCTGATGAGCTGTGACATTCCCGAGAGCACGTTGATCGGCAACTTGCGGGACATGGTCAACAGCGAGCTGCTATCGGACGTGACGTTCATAGGTGAGAGGAGCAGGTGTTGGAGGTTCCGACCCAAGCGAAAAGGTGACGGATGCGAAGGGGTTGAACGGAGGAATGACCGGTGCATTTGTTAGGCTGAAATCATGAGGTGTTGCAGTTCATGCGGTGTAACAATTGTAGCTCTCTGGTATCTCCTGTCCTGACTACTGTTCATGTGGTGTTTCGCCCTCACCTCTCACTCGAACTAGCAGCAGGGAAGGGCGCTGCTGTGTGTGTGTTTCCCCATCATCATCGAATTACCCTCATGTGCACTCTCTCTCTCTCTGAAAAAGCGGCAGCAGCAGCAATAGCGGCGTACCGGTCTGTGTGATTTCACACGCTCTCAGAGCCCTAGTTTGTACGTGGTGCGCAACGCAGGCTGCTTCCTCCCCTAGTAGCCAGCTGCTGACTGCTGTTGCTTGCCCTGCTGATCTTGACCAATCTTGTTCGTGTAACAACATCATACTCCGCAACAACAGTCGAGGGTAAGCCAGTGCACGCGCACAAGGTGCTGTGCATGCGGTGCACGTACTTCCGAGCGATGCTGACGGGAGAGATGAAGGAGAGCCGAGCGAAGACGATCACGCTGCCGGACGTTCGGAGACCGATTTTCCTGGCGCTCCTCGAATACCTTTATACCGACGAGGTGCTTGAACATGTGCATATGTATCGTTGCGGGTGCAGAGAACTCACAGGGCTACCTTTGCGCATACAAGAGTACTTCCTATTTAGCGACTGCGGTTTTAAGACAGAGTCGGGACACAACGCAATAAAACACTACGTTGGATCCGTTTTTTTCTCTTACAAAACCGTTTCTCATGGGCGGGATTTACTGTAAGCCATATTTACTCTCTGGAGACCCGGACTCGTTGTCTTTCACGATTTCGGTTAACCGGTAGTTTTTTAGAACCTCCACGGCATGGAAAGGCGCCGTCATCCATTCGATCTATTGAACGACATAAAGATTGTCTTGTCGTGTGCATCGTCTAAAATGGTGGTCGTTGTTGAGGGTAGACATGTACCTATAGCGTTATTTAATTGTCATGAAAGGGCACCCGGCATGCCCGGCGCCCTCCTCTAGTACCTTGGCACGCACGGGGTACCTCTTTTGGTCCTGCTTGTCCTCGAGGCTAGCCTACCCAAGCCCGTACCTCATGCCTGGTATCTTGTTCTTCCTGCGAAGAGGTTTGTGGTTGACGTTTCAGCCATTCATCCATGTCGTTCTGTGGAGACCCCGTTCAGGTGCAATCTCCCCCAACGTCTGTCGAGGACGTACAATTTTTTTCACGTTTCCCCTCGTCTTTGTCCTCGTCTAACCGTAAACCGAACCGCAACCGTGAACCGTGAACCGTATCCGCAAAACCTTCCCGTGGCGTGTCGTGATTGGGTGCAGCTGGACGTGGAGCTGGAGGTGGCGATGGAGCTCTTCCAGGCTGCGGACCAGTTCGGGGTGGACCGCCTGAAGCGAATGTGCGAGAGCACCATGCTGGCCTCCATCGAGGTGGAGAACGCTGCCAGCATTTTTCACGCCGCGGACGAGCGCAACGCGAAGGTAATGATGCAGTTGGGGGATGGGGTGCACTCTCATGTAGACGCATGCCGTAGTAGTCGTTGGACCATTGACCTCGCATCCCTACAATGCCGGGGTAGAGTGGTGTGTCGGATGTTCGCCGGCCCCGGCTACCGTTTCACAAGGATCAACCAGAAAGCTGATCGTCACCCTTGCGTTTGCCGTGCCAAACCAGTTGTGCCATGGGTTGCTGCTTGCCAAACGTTCCACATTCGGCAGATTTGTCCAGCACCGCACCAACACCACCGGCACGTAAACAGCAGTAGACCTCAACATCGACCGAAGTATACACCACGCACAGCCGAGAAAGGCGAACCTCGGCATGAACACCACCACACCTAATAACCCCCAACGTCGCTTGATTTTGAAACCTGCCAACCAATCGGAATGAAGGCGACAGTCCATCATAACCCCCCAACCTTTATTATTGACTTTCAAACCTGCCAACCAATCGGAATGAATGTAACAACAGTCGCTGCGGGAAAAGTGCCTGAACTTCATCTTGGGCAACTTCGACGCCGTCACCAAGACGGCGGACTTCGAGGAGATGGGCAGAACGAACATAGAGCTAGTCTTCGAGATCCT